TCCCCATACTCAACCTAAGAGATGAGGTCTTTTGATTGCTGTGCTTTTATATTTTATTATGATTTTTACATTAACAGCTGCTCTTAAGATCGGTCCACAAATCCAGGATATAAAGGTAGAGGAGCAAGTTAACAAACAGCAATGGCGAACAGAGCAGCAGCAACACGAACAGCAGGAATAACAATGGCAACAGCAGCAGCAACAATAACAGCAGGAGGTTGGGTGGAGGTGGGAGGGGGTGAGGATTCTATGAGCGTGTTTGAACTGGCGCCTTTGAAACATAAATAACAGCAGTTTCTTTGTATAATTATACTATACATCTGCCACCGCTGTAGTGTGTGATGAGGTGATATGTGATGTTTCGAACAGCGATGTTGTTTGTCCGTCTTTCAAATGGCAAAATCTAATTCCACAGCACTTTGAGCATCAGATGTGTAATATGAATCTCTTTTTCATGTGTCACGTAGGGAGGATTATGTGTAGCAGTAGAGCGGGCCAGATAATAGTTGCAAATACAGTACATCTTAACATTTGCTTGAACTTGCCCGAAGTACCAGATGGCTGGAATTTGCCTTGTAGGGCAATACAGTAAATGCCACGAGGTCAGAGAACCACACGCAAGTTCATAAAAGTCAATTTAGCATATTTACTTAAAAATCTGTATTTTCCTGATGCTAAATCCTAACCAGTGCATAATCCAAGGACATTTGAATAATTGACAATGAAACAGTTCTACCTCTGAGTTGAACTAGTGAATAAATATAAATAATAATAAGTCATTTATGTTAAGGTCTGTGTGTTACTGAAGTACCAGGTTTTGGATAAAATGACTTTAACATTTAACAACATCAAATTGCCTTTTGGAATGAAAATATTTGTAATATTTTGTTGTTAGCAGTGTATAAACAATTAATAATTGGTTGTTATAAACAATAATGTAGTTTCAAGCATATTTATGGACATTATGTTGAGGAAGTGTTACATGCATTTCTCCCCCTGTGAAGCATATGTAACTGCTGTATAAAAAGATAATGAATGATTGACAATATAATATAGCCTAGCTGCAATCATATAGAATATGAACTTTATATGAGCATGAAACATAAAAAAATTGATTTATGATGTTTATTCAGTAGGTAAATGTTGTGTAAATACATGTTAACTGAATAAAATGATGAAGGCCATGACATGTGGCTGAAAGCATGAGAAAAAAATCTAGTAAGTAATCTAGTTTCTTTTGTTTTTTTTGGGCTACTAATACTACAATTTCAGAGGTCCAGCTCAAAATGTCATCATGAGACGGTTAATTGTGGATGATTCATGGATTAAGTTATAATCGCTGAAAATTAGATAAAATAAGATTGCAAAACAAAATACAGTCCCAGGCGGCCAATCCGGCCAGCCAATATGTTGATGCACTCCTTTCAGATAAGCAATTCTAGGTGGCTGCATTTGTAGGAAAGATATATATGTATATTTATGTATGTATATATATTATAGGGTCGGCCAACCTCATTATAAGATTGAAAATGATCAGGGCCGTAGTCATCTGGAGTAATAAAGTTTATAAATAAATATTTATAAATTACATGATAATATCTGTAGAGGTAAACAGTACCATTTAAAGAGTTAACATGAGAATCAACTTTTATGGCTCTACAAAACTGTAAAATTGTATTAACAGTATTTACATCTGGTGTAAGGTTAATTATTTGTGTTTGCAGAACATCAGCTTTGCAATGGCTAATTGAGAACAGCATTATCACAGAAATAAAACAGCAGGTGTAAGGCAACTAAAGCGTAGTGAAAATGATCGCCTGACCCAATGGACCTATCTAACATGAATCCAAACACTTTAAAGTACACACACAACAACAATCAACACACCTAATATAAACTCTAGCAGGAAATGGGAGCAGACAAAGACGCTCTTCATAATTCATTCATAAGCTCGTGTCCATTACATTCAAAACTCTAATTGTCAAATTCTCTTCATCGTTCCAAGGATTTTCTTGCCTTTCTCTCTGGCACATGTCATTAGTCCATTAGTCCTGAGGCTCACTAACTCGACAATAAATTAAAAATGAAACAAAATCAATAGCCAGCATGCCTGTCTCTCTGCCCAAATACTGGAAGAGGTACAATCTCTACCAAGATTAAGTCATTTGTTGGTGTTTTGATTGCCTGACTGAAGATGCAGTTTGTGTGGCTCATGTTATCAGGTGATTTTCAGGTCCTTTCAGGTTCTGTCAGACTCAATCAAAATCTTGCAAGACCTATAGCAGTTTAAGTCGACCCAGGCAAAGAACAGAGGTGAAAGGCAGAGCTGGTTCCATAAGTTGTAAGGATGCTGCATCTGCCTGAACGCCACTATGACTGTTCGACCTATAAAACATCAGACAATTGTAAAATGCCCATCATTCAGTCTAAGGTGATGTCTTCCAACCCTGTATCCTAGAAATTCAGTTTATGTGGCACTAAATTGTCAAAACAAACGTAATTGGCTGGCTGGATTATGTTCAGAGACAACATTTTTTTGAGAGCATGAGGCGCTGGATTCGAGTCCAGTCTGTGATTATGTCCAGGCAACAAAAGCAGTTTGGTTAAGGATAGGAAAAGATTGTGATTGAGAATAAATATGTTGTGTCCCAAGTCCCTGGAGACATTTTCTGTATTAAACCAAACCAGAAACCATGACTTTTACCTAATGTTAACCAAATGCTGCCAGTGCCTAAAAATAAGCATACAAAAGTTAAACAATGCTGTAGTCACTAGCAGACATTTTAATGCAAGATTGCATATTTTGGTGGAAAACAAATTAAATCTGTTGTGAATGGACATTTTACTCATATGTGCTTTATCAATGTTATTGTAACTTGCCAATTCATTACATAATTAACAACATTTCCTTTCATGTTAATAGAAAACATAATCCAACCAGCATTACCTTTCCTTCAATACATATTAGCTGTTGCAAGTTAGTTGTATACATTTCAAGAAGACAACATTGTGTCTTGTCTTGCATGTCTTGTTTTGTCTTACCAACAGTGAAAAGCCCACATATATTCAATAAAAGATAAGACAAGGCAGCCGTTTGCAACATTTAAGAAGCTGGAACAATCAGAAATTTGGCATTGTTGTTTAAAAACTACTGTAGATCAATTATATCCATTATTTAAATAGGTACTGAATCATTTTCTGTCGATTACCTATTTAATTAATCAACTTCGTATTTCAACTCTGTTTATGCGCCAATGTTCCAGTTGTCACTGCACGCATCATCATGACAAGTAAAGAGGGACCTGGTTGACAGATCTTTCATTTTTTTGTATAAAACTGGTAGCATGCCTTTACAAAGGGAACTGTGTGCAGGCGGGTTTATAGAGGGGAAATTGTGAAACAGAGCAGGTAAAGGGGTAGTGACTGAAGCAAGACCAAGAAGTTACTGTTAAACCTGGACATGACAACATGGCTCTTATTCACATTGCAACAACAGAACCTGTTACAATCACAGCATTTTTCACTTAAGTGCAGCAGTGTTTGTAGTAAAAATACTCACCCAATCTGAAGAAATTATATATGTAACAGTTCAATTATAATGTATGTATTCAGCAATCAATAATGCACTGTACATTATGCTATGCAATCAATAGTGCTGGGAGTTTAGGAGAGCAAAGCAATGGTCTGAGATAGCATTGCTGCTTGATTTCCTAATTTCACACAGTTAATGTCTGGAAGTGTGTCCGTAAGTGTAATGAAATTGAACACACAGAGAGAGAGAGAGAAAAAAAAGGGACCATCACAAGCAGAAAAGCCCCCAGATATCCACTAAGAGTCCATCTTTTCTGGTTCAATAGAGCCAGAAACAAAGCAGGCTGCAGGAGATTGAGTCTGCAGATCCTGTGGGTCCAGCATATAAAACCACAGTAAACAACAATAACCATAATCAAAATGGAAAAGGCAGGAACCCTTTAATTTGTGCTTGTTATACCATTAGCTGTCATCATTAGGTAATAGAGACCTGTGGTTGCTATAGATGCACAACAAAATAATACACAACCAATGATAT